ATTGATTTAGAATAAATAATGCACGACAAAATGACATTTTATACATTGGACTGAACGCTATGATAACGTTATACTACAATACAGAATGTAGGTCAATAACTTGTTTATATTCAACAACTCAATTCAGCATAGCCACATATCTTATAAACAAACAATCAACATGAGCTGGGTTCAGGCAACATTAATTGAAAACTCTACTAAAAAGTTTTATATTGAGCATACAAGTGGTCGGACCAATCATATTGCTCATGGCATTATAGCTTTGGATGAGTTAGGAGCTGACAAAACAAGAATCCAGAAGTATATTCATCACTATGCCGAGAGACTTGAGAAGCCAAGGGATCATGAAGATGCTTGGGAGAAGGTTGACATTGAAAATTCAAAGGTTGGTATTCAATTGTAAACGCATCCCTGGTCTATTCTCAGTTCATAGCAATTAAAATCAAGACTGTTGTCTAAAACTGAACAAGTAGGATTCATCCATCTTCTGAACACATGGCTACAAAACTTGTTCTTCCTATATATATTCTGCATCTTGGAGCCCTGAGATCAGAGGATGATTCATCAATGTCTAGAATTTTACAGTGAAGTTTTTACATAACAGTGATTGGAGATGTACTGTACCTAATATTAATCATTTGTATAAATAAATATTAATAACAATAAAAAATAAAAATAACTGATCACACAAGGTCAGACTAAAACATTAACCATTTCTTATTTTACAGTTTTCTATTTTTGTATATACCTATTTATCCTATGCCAAGTAGAGTTTTAGGGAGATAAGTTGGTAAGATATATCCAGTATCCTGATTTTGAGGTTTCCATATCAAGAACCTCCATATCTCCCGCCATATCTCCCGCTTCGGTGCTTATCTTCCCACTTCCGGTAATTTCACGTCACATTAAAAAAAACAAAATTAAAAAAATTTCAAAATCTTTTTTCACATTTTTTTCAAAAATTTTTTGTCAAATGTTTTTTCACATTTTTTTCAAAAGTTTTTTGTCAAATTTTTTTTCACATTTTTTAAATTTCTTTTATAATATAAATAAAATGACTTAGCTTATTAATGATTTGTTTATTTTTACACCTTGTACTATTGAAATGGCCATATGCCCCTGAAAACTCTACTTGGTATAGGATAAAGCAGTTATGTATGGTCGGTTTGGATATTGGGTTCATCCCTCGTGAGATATGCACATCTACCTTCAGTCCCTACGGTCCCTCAGGTAGATATGCATATCTCCCTCTGGATAAACCCCATATCCAAAACCTCCCAGTACATAACCCTTATGTATTAACATGATCTTGACAGTAGAATGTTTTATCCACAGGGTAAACAAAAGGGTTTCTATGGCCTATTGGACCACTATAAGGAACTTTTGCAGGAAGTACATAGTGGGGATTGGTCGTCTCTTTTGACTCAGGAGTTCCCAAAACTATCAGCTGGTGTAGTAGGAGCCGCAACACATGGCTTGATACAGATAGGGTACATACTGAATAAGTTTGTTTATTTCATTCCTTTCACATAGCTCTCTTATTTCGGACAAACCATTAACATAACAAAATGTCACCACAATATTATGAGGAACTTTTGCAGGAGGTACATAGTGGGGATTGGTGTAGAACTTCTGAGAACTTGTAGATGACGGATGCCTGATGCCAACAACCAATCGCCACTTTTGGTGGTGACATAAAAATGGGAACAATTTAAGACTTGCAATCTTGCCTTATTAAGCTATAAATACAAGTGAATCATTTTGAGTTTTGAAAGAGATTCAATAGGTGTGGCATTTTTATTACAAATACATGTATGGATAACCTCTTAAGTATCATAAACTGACATATATATGATAAAATCATACAGGGGTTTCACTAGAATTTCTCACAACAGGCTAAATAAATGAAAAAAAACAACAGGCAAAATTAATGGAAATCATAAATTTAACATGGAAAAGAAAAGTCCCTAAAAAACAACAGGTGATTTTGTGAAAACAACCAGTGAAAATCGCCTGTTGCCTGCTGCTAATGACAACCCTGTAACATATAAGTGGGGCACCTTTGGTACCTCAAATACTAGTATTCAAACATGGGAAGCGTTCCTCAACAGAGGTGTTCCACTTACAAGTTTTACTGTTTTCTATTTTCTAGGTATGGTGTCGCTGCAAAGTCTGATCAAGTCATATGTGAAGGTCTAGCCTATCTTCATCACTCTTACTTAGCTATCAAAACAAACGTCAGACCCATCAATGAACCAAAACTGCCAATCACAGAAGTTCTGCAGAATATCTATGAGGATAAGGACTTTCAGCAAAGGGTCAATGAAGAAGCTGAAAAAGATCATCCTTTCGTCCCGCAAAATTCTGGGAACTTTACAAGTCGTATTCTGACGATTTACAATATATTCGGTGACAAGCTTTTACAGTATTCGCACCAAGTACAAATGCCAAGTTTCTTTAACGAAGATGACTACACTTTGAATGATGTTGTGAAATTAGCACGGTGGATTGTAGATTGCGCAATCCTCGTGTTCGCCAAATCCAGTCGAAAAAATGATTTCTTCCTGCTGCACGGGGTGACCGCTGCCTGGAGTCTTTTACAGATCATCCCCCTACTGAGCCCTGAGAATGGCGTCAAAGCAATTAAAGAATTCTTAATTGCTTTACTTGGGGTTTACATTGTTCAAAAGTGCCCAGCATTAACACAAGAAATACCCCAAAATATTAGCATAAAATGGGATGAACTGATTAAAAAGACAATCGATAAAGATGTGAGTAGAGACACACACAAATTCAAACTTGTACAGGCTTGCTATGATATGTATAAAACCAAAGATGAGAATGGTGACGGATATAGTGATAATGATCAGTTGTATTTCTTTGCAGCAAAGATGTGTGTTGAAAATGTTATAAAGTTTGTAGAGCCTGAATTTGTGATAAGTGACGATGAAGTTTAATTTTCAAACATTATTCAGGGTTGCCATGCAGATAAGAAAAGACTTTTGCCGACTACATTTAACTACTGTTTATGATAACCATCTGTAAAAGTTATCAGAAAAATTATGGTTTGAGAATCTCATTTTATCAAATTGATACTGAGGTGATGAATGAGAAAAATAAGGATTCAGTGATCTCCCCAGCATTTGAACAAGTGGGCGCAGCACCCAGCTGAGATTCTGAAAATAGACTTGCTCTCACCTGAAAATCCATTTGCACATTGGCATATTTTGACCAATTTTGGTCTGAATTGTGAAAATGAGAATTTTGCACCCACATGAGAAAAAATCCTGGGAGATCACTGGGATATAACTTTTACAAAGAAATTCTTATAAATATATTCACTCAATTTGGATTATATAGGCCTAGTGTTAAAATATCAAAGCATGGACTTTCAAGAAAAAAACAATAATTTTGTGCAAGCGGTGCCGATATAATATGTGCAAGGTGCGGATATTAACGGTCATTTTTGAATTTGAATTTGTAATATTTCATAAACTTAGGCATGTTTGGTACTCGATTACATTCACCCATTTAGAGAATATTTAGTAAGAGGGAAATTTAATCTATTGTTGTCTTCTTCATTCTTTAAAGGCGCACTAAGCATTCATCCTTTCTCCATATGATAGCAAAGAATTTAAATTGCCACTCAATACACCATTTACAGCCTTCATTCAGTATTGGAGGTCGAGCTGACCCATCAATATAAATCATTCTTTGCACTTTGAAAGTTGTAAACTTTCTGCATGAATTTTAAAAAGAGAGAACATTTATTGAATATATGCTACCTCTAATCAAACAGTGCGGATATTGTCACTTGACGCCTAGAGGCAGCACATTTTCATTTAATGTTACCCATGCGCACATTATCCACAACGCTTGCTTTGGTAAAGAACAGTTTGTATAGGGTAAATATGTGTCATTGCTTGATCTAAAATGCTCCAAATCTGATGCTAATGCAGCACATCATCTGTGCCAACAATACAGGCACATATTTTTATTCAGAGCATGTACTGGGCCTGAGGCTTTATTGCTTTGTGATATATCACCAGTAGCCAGCTATAACACATTAGAATAAATACAATGAGCATTTAATACAGACTGACACTTGTTGTCAGTATTCTTGTTCTTCTTTCTTAAGTAAGTGGAACATGAACAATTTCATTTTGGAATTTTTCATTTATGCCAAATTAGCTTGATAGGAAGCTAAGCCTGTTCAAATATTGTTAAAATACCTTATCTCGAACCAATTAAGACCATCTTTTCTTTCTGATCTTGTGGTGGTTCCATGGAAGCAAACATTCAAAAGTATTGGTATTTAAAATTGATTGAGGTAATAAATATGTGCGTGGCTAGCGGCATTTTTTCAAAACTGCCTAGAAAAGACTTAGAAGATTTTTTTGTAAAATGTATAAAAAACGAATGAGTTTTTTTACATTTTACGCGCGTGTGTCAATTACCATGATTTACAAATATTGAACACCACAGATGCTGTAACTTTCACTCAACCTTCTTTGAAGGCTTTGGACATAAGTAACAGGTTTCTCACCAGGAAATTTTCAGACCCTGGATTTTTTGCGGTATCGCAACTACTTCTCCCCTATGTGAGATCAGAGATATCCGATTTGTATACTTTTCGACATACTTCTTAAGATTATCTTGCTATTTGAGTCTCAATATTTATTTCTAAAAGGTTTTTGACTTCCTATTCCTTGTTTGTATCAAGTTTTATGTATTTTCTCAAGAGTTTTACTGCAAATAATATGACAAAAACGCAAAATTAGACTCTAAAAAAACACTTTAGACTCCGGAAAAGCTATAAGACTCTGGAGCAGGAGGGTTTTGAGACATTAGACTCGGGAGAATCTCTGGAGGCTAAAAGCCTAGTGGGAACCCTGAGTAACTTAGGCTCGATCTAATACAGACCACGGACGAGGGAGCGACTGACTCATATACAGACAACCTCCATAAATGGGGGGTTATTTTGAGTTTTTTTTATATTTAGGACATTTGTTTCTCAAAATAACAGTAACAGGTGTCCTAAATATCAAAAATCCTCAAAATAACCCCACATTTATCGGGGTAATACAGACCGACCTAACAAAAACCATAATGTTGCCATTAGTCTCTTTGATCATTGGATCATGATGGAACAACTATTTAATCACATGTAAGATATTTTTGTACTCGATAAGGTAGCAAAATGAGCTGAATCACAAGGAAATTAGAAAGTATTTTTCTTACCCAAAAAGTTGAAGTTTCCCTCCACAAAACAGGTCCTTTGTGTTGGTTGTTTATTTATTTCTAATCTCGTCTATCTATCGAAATAATAAAAGCCATGTAAAAAAAATTGCTAACTGATGTTGTGTTTCAATATTGTTTTATTTTTAGACAGGTATAGGTGATAATGAGCTATTATTATTTATTCATTTTCATTTTTAATTTATTGATAAATAAGACATGATGTTTCTACCTCCTTTAGAGAGTTTTTGAAGAGCTCCGAACAGCTGATTGACAAGTTGAAAAGTTCAAAAGTTTATAAAAGTAGAAATACAAGTGTTTGAGACAGCGTAAGCTGTGTGATATCGTGTAGATTCACCATTTATAAACCGAGATAAAACTGACCCCGTGAATGTCGAACTCCCATGGCCCTCCCATGGAGTTCGCGTGAATGTATGTTGACACTCTACATCTACATCTACATCAATAATCCGCAAAGGCTAATAAGCCCATTTAAAGCAGATATATAGTTTAACAGTGATATGATTTGAATAGAATACAATTTGAACCTTAACATTTAAAAAATAGATCTATGGTTTACAACTCATTTTAAAATGTACACTGAAATCATGAAACACTTCTCCACTTAAGGAGGCATCTTCCCCAAGGTCGATGATCCTTATCCCGTTCCCGGACTATAGTCCTGCACTGAGCGCATTCATTTGCCTGTACGATTACAACTTGGGAGAATTATCTACGCCCCTTACACTTAAGATACCTACCTCAATGCATTATAGAACTCAAGATGTAACTTCTAATATATTGGAACCGCCGATTGTCTGGGTATATCGGCAGAACGGGAACATTTTCTCTTTTTCATCGAGAGAGATTCCATCACTTTTCAAAATGGCGGTTGGATTTAAAAGGGGAATCCCCCGTTTGGCTGTCCCGGATGTAGCCCGGAAGTACCAATATGGAGGAATTTGACGGTTGAAATAAGTTAAATGTTACACGCAAATATTGCGATCAAAAACGAAAATGTCTTCGTTCTGCCGATAAACCCAGACAATTGTGGATTCAACTACACGAAAAGAATGCTAAATTACCAAGGAATCTATTGAAGTAGGTATCTGAAGTGTAAGATGAGTAAAAAATTCTCCCATGTTGTAATCGCACAGGCAAAAGATTGAGATGTTCACAGGACCATAGTCCGGGAACGGGATAAGATGATCCCGTTCGTAGAAAAGTACAGTGTATCATTTGTACAGAACAAAAACAACTTTTAAGAATGTACCATAGACCTATTGCTAAAATACAACCGAGCTCAATTGTTAAGCTGCTTGCTGACAGAAGATTTAAAACTGGATAGGCTATCACTGTCTAAAATATCACTGGGTAGAGTGGTCCATTTTACTATTGTCCTTGGAAAGTAACTAAACTCGTATGCATCCGTTCTGGCAGCTGGTTGGATGAATTTGGATGGATAGAACTGTCTAGTGTTTGTGTTTATTTGAGAGCTGAAGTATGTGGGTATAGTGATGGCTGCTAAGTTGTTAGTTCCTTTGTAGAAGAGAGAAAGTCTAGAAGCCTCCCTACGGGATTGTAGTGATTCCCACTGCATGTGTTGAAGAGCTTCATTCTGAGCTTTGCCACATAGCGAGTATTTTGAACATTTACATGTCTTTCATTGATCGCGTACCTTTTCTGCATTAATTTGCAGTTTTTAATGGCCGGGATCGATCAGTTTCGATTTTTATTTATTTTCTAAATGTCTTAATGATCTCGCTCAAAGAGCTCTTTCATGCAGTTTAAGTGGTCATTGACTGTATTGATGTATATATGTACATATATAACTATTTGAACAAATTTAGGTGGTGGTAACAATAACACAGATGCGAGTAGGTAGTTACCAGTTTTACCACCAGAGATGGTACATTCGGAACAGATAGCATGGCGGGTATAGTAGAAAGTTCCCTTTAATTTGAATTACATCTGGGTTTAGTAGTTCAATTTTCATATAACCCGTATGTACATGTATCTAATAGTTATGCAAATCAAAATATGTTCAATAAAGGAAAATGTTATCTGTCCAATAAAAGAAATTTCACTTTTTGTGATTTTGTAACATCACACTGGAATAGCCTGACAATGGTAAAGTCAGATACCGTTGTCACAAATTGCGAAGATAACGGTCGCTTCAATTAGATTTTCATTAACTGTATGTTTAATAGAGCACCTAGACTAAATTCCGTTGGAACAACAATCAACCAAAGTGTCTTTATACTCATTGTACAGTTAATGATGTTCTACCATCGAAATAAAGTCTTAAATTTAACCGATCAAAATGGGATATGGGACAACGGATACTGTACTTACCATATGCCGTTGTCTTTCTAAATTATTCAAATTCAGATTCCATTGTCATTGACGATATCGAAGACACTATATTATGGCAATTCACGACCAAATTTGATCGAAATTGGGATTTCATATGAAACATCATCACAAGAGCTTAATACATGCACAGAATTAGCGACGATAAAATCCCATGAAATGAGGACCAAGTGATTAAACAGTTGAAGCGATGGTTATGTCCGCCATTTGTGACAACGGTGTCTGACTTTACCGTTGTCAGGTTATTCCGGTGTGAATATGGGGTCTATGGATTATCAACCCGATTAGAAGTCACATTTTCAAAAAAAAAAAATTTTCAAAGTTGATAAACAATTTTCGAAACCATATTTTTAGATATACTTTTACATGTATTTCAAATATGACATCACTTTGACTGAATTTTGAATATTTAATATAATAAATCAAGATTATTTCTACTCGCATCTAGTCTATTAATTTCTGTTTTTCCATTTAAGAATCTGTGGTGCTTTATTTTACAGTGACTTGGATATTAAGTTTTATGTTGCATAGTGAAGTATACATGTAAATGGAAACTATATCAAAATGACAATCATAAACTTTTGTTGATGTATCTTATAATTTATTAAATACATCAGAAACCAACATCAATCTGCTAACATGCAACTGCACCACCACTGGTAGAGCACAGCCAGCTTCTGTAGGTTGAGGTTCTGACGTAAACACTTGGCATTCCAAGGCATCCTACTACTCCCCAGCTAGTTACTCCAGCAGCCACATAGTTTCCTCCCTCTCTGCAGTTCATGGGGCCACCAGAGTCACCCTATAGGGTAGAATGTGTAAAATAAGTAATGTGTTACGTGGGTCAACATACTGTAATCACCCTGTAGGGTAGAATGTGTAAAATACATAATTTGTTACATAGGTTACCAGAGTCACCATGCAGGGTAGAATGTGTATTTAAAATGAATAATGCGTCACCTTGTAGGGTATAATATGTAACATAAGTAATGAATCACCCTTTAGGGTAGAATGTGTGAAATAGGTAATGCGTCATCATTTAGGGTTAAATGTGTAAGATAAGTAATGCATCACCTTGTAGGGTATAATATGTAACATAAGTAATGAATTACCCTTTAGGGTAGAATGTGTAAAATAGGTAATGTGTCATCATTTAGGGTGAAATGTGTAAAATGAGTAATGCATCACCTTGTAGGGTATAATATGTAACATAAGTAATGAATCACCCTTTAGGGTAGAATGTGTGAAATAGGTAATGCGTCATCATTTAGGGTTAAATGTGTAAGATAAGTAATGCATCACCTTGTAGGGTATAATATGTAACATAAGTAATGAATTACCCTTTAGGGTAGAATGTGTAAAATAGGTAATGTGTCATCACTTAGGGTTAAATGTGTAAAATAAGTAATGCATCACCTTGTAGGGTATAATTTGTAACATAAGTAATGAATTACCCTTTAGGGTAGAATGTGTAAAATAGGTAATGTGTCATCATTTAGGGTGAAATGTGTAAAATGAGTAATGCATCACCTTGTAGGGTATAATATGTAACATAAGTAATGAATTACCCTTTAGGGTAGAATGTGTAAAATAGGTAATGTGTCATCATTTAGGGTGAAATGTATATGATGTGTTACTTCTGTTGCCATCTAAGATACAAGAAATATAATTTTGCTTTCTAAACCGACCTGGCAAGATCCCTGTTGACCATTTTCAACATCCATGATACAGATATGCATGGCAGCGTCAGCCTGTCCCCAGGCAGCTTGGCATACGGCAGGGGCAAGGATTGGGAGAGTTGCCTGCTTCAAAAAGGTTGCAGAGACTCCTCCTACAGGAAAAACATTATTTTTTCTTTAGGCTTTCTTTTTTGCAGTTGATACAGATAATTCAGAAAGCCCTACATTAAAGCATTATCAGTCATGTCTGAATTCAATGTGAAGAACAAATTCCAGGGAACTGCATTATTTTTTCCTTAGGCTTTCTTTTTTGCAGTTGATACAGATAATTCAGAAAGCCCTACATTAAAGCATTATCAGTCATGTCAGAATCAATGTGAAGAACACATTCCAGGGAGCATCACTCAATGTGGCGACATATGAATGTGACTGTCATTGAATATATAAATAGATAAGCATTCAAGAAAATATTATTAAGTTAAATGATATTATAGAGACCTGATAGACCATACTATAATGTACATACATGTAATAGTATGCAGAGGCAAACGCATTTACAGTCAAACTACTCAATAAAATATATACCCCCTAGAGTGTTGTCAACCATCCTGTGATAGTGCATTGTGATGCATTTACTGTCTAGTTATGCAATAAAATATTACCTCCTGGAGTGGTGTCACCCCATCCAGTGATGGTGCAGTCTGTATCTGCAAAATCAGTGTTGCCACTGGCAATTTGGATAGCTTGAGCAGTCCTGCCATCAAGGTTAATGGGGCTTGCCAATTCCAGTAGAGCAATGTCGTTAGGGAAGCCAATGGATCCATCTTGGATAAAGTCAGGGTGCTGAGTAAAAGAAACAGTACAATATTTGTAACTCACTGCCACATCCATGTTGTTAACAAAATGCATTTGCATCACATAAGAAGAGATAAGCCACAGTTCATAGTTGAAGTCATAATTGCACCTATGCTCTAGTTTGAAAGTATCAGCATTACCTGGTAAACATTTGCAACATCTATGACCTGTTCAGCCCCTGTGCAAGAATCACAGTTTCTTTCGTGAGCACCAGCAACAATCTCATATCCAAAGCTAATAACATATATTGTGACAGTAATAATATTGTGACAATACAATGCAAATCATAAGTTATGAAAACATAAGGACGAGTGAGTGTATTCAACTAAACAGAAGTTTTGAGTGTTGGATTTACACTCAAGGTACGAGGGTATATCATAAAGTTCTCATAATATCTCTCTAATTTTTTATTTTTCAATATATTCTGATGAATTGTTTACAGAATGTGTAGTAAAGAATGCTGTATTAATATATCAAAAAAATATTTGGTATAAAAGAAATATTATTTAAGAAATTGTTGCCATAGTAACCGGAAATCAAGGCACCCGGGGTAAATAAAAAATCGTGCAAGAATATCTAACTAACCATGTTTAAATGCATAATAAGTTATCAAATAAGCTATGAAACCCATCAAATTGTTAAATACCATGTGTTCTTGAACAATTATAATGGTCATGTGAATTATGTGATCTCATAATGGATGATTGTAATACTTCATTAGAAGTAATATTAAACACTTCAACTGTTTTGTCAAATATTCCAAGGAAAGTCGATTTCCCCCTTTTCCCCTTAAATATGTTTAGACCACAAATAGGAGGGTAATTTTATTGATAACTTTGCAACATATTTGTTTTAAATCATCTTTAGTATGAACAAAGGATTTTTCGAACTTAACTAAACTTTTTGTCAGTATGCATTTTACTTTTCTGATGATCTCTGCACCTTTGCATTATCTTACTCCGTCATTTCTCAGTCATTAAGCTTTGATTCACAGAGTCTGGCATCACATCTAATGGAGCATATAAGCATCCTCTATGACATTACACAATTCAAATGATCAATTTATTTTATAGTAACAGCATTTAACAACATATTCAAGATAACATTTTAATGTGTTTGATAATTTATGAGAGTTTACTATGTATGAAAACATGGTTAATTAAGCTAATTTCCTCAATTATTTTTATTTGCCCCAGATGCCTTGATTTCAAGTTACTCTGACAACCATTACTTATCTAATATTTCTGTTATACCAAATATTTTTTGATAGATTAATACAGTATTCTATACTGCAGGTTCCATGAAAATTTAATTAGAATATATTGAAAAAAATAAGAGATATTATGAGGACTTCATGATATACCCTCATATATATACGATTGTTGTAGATTTACTCAAATAAGAGTGTTTGAAAACTACATGTACGTTGTATGTTATATAGCTAGGAGGCATTCCTCTCCTACAGTGATATAGAGATCAGTACAAAGAACAAACATATCTAAATCTTACTTGTTGACACAATGAGCTGCAGTGGTGACCCAGGTAGCATCTGTGATGATGGCTCCGCAGATGTGGCCAGTGGTCCTCAGGGACAACTGCCATGGCCAGGCGTGCTGTGTGGCAATCTCTCCATTGACAATCAGCTCCCTGGGGATGGGCTCAAACAGAGCTGGAACAGGGTTCTTTGGGAAGGCCGAAGCTGCAGTGAAATGATAGAATATTCAGTATTTCAAACTTAACATATTATTAACTATTTAGATTCCATTTTCAGTACAGATACAACTGTAGGTTAGGATTCGCTAAGATATTTTATAATGTTTTACTCTTTAGCAAATATATTTTTCTTTAAGTACTTATTCAGGAAATAGCAAATTCTTAAATTCAAAGATCTTTAAATTACACACACAAAAGTAACCTTTATCCTGAATACGTACCACAAGCAAAAAATACTCAGATTCTGAATTTTCTAAGAGTAAAGGACATTAAATAATCTAACCACATGTGCCAAAAGGAAAGGACAAACAGTTATAATGGAACTTAGCAAGAAAAAGCAAACTCTAAGTGCATACCAGCGTGAAAAGAAACAATGTCTAATACCCCCTTTCCCCCACCATTCAAGAGCCGATATCACAATCCAAGACCAGAACACCAAGGGACATTTCATTCATACTGAAGTCATTACAATACATGTTGAAGAAAAAATTAGAAATTTATAGCCACCAATACTCATAACATCAAAAATAGTTGTAGATACAAGTACTCATACAAGATAGAGCATTCAGTCTCAAATGATGTGGGATAGATAAAATCCAGTCTCCAAGTCCATAGGCGTTTCAAAGGGACAACATCCATTCACAAAAGCCTAAGTTTGTCTTCAAACTCCCTTAAAACTCCATTTGTGACTATTACAATGGTATCAGTATCAAAAATGTAAAATCATTCGTAATAATCAAAGGCTTGTATGACAAGCTGGTGGTGATTCTTTCTGTTGAATTTTTTTACTGAAATAAGAAACCAACCCACATCATATTTTGTACCATAATTTGATTTCTTGAAATATCTTCATTTTTATAGGCTAGTCAAATACTAAGTGAGACTTACCCGCAGCAACAAGAGTTAGGATGAGACACAACATGTTTGAAGTAGACTCGAAGGTGATAGGTAGCAATTCTTACCTATCTTTTATACCCAATATTTATCTAAAGGGATTGGGTTATCGACTTTCCTCTGATGGTATTGGGTGTTTCAAGTCACATGATTGTTCTTTTTATATTTTTTTAGATTACACAATTTCATATCCTGTTCAAATTGGGGTCGGTCTATTAGATAAAGGACTGATATTGTTTGATAATATGTTTTGTATGATTTTTAGTGGACCCTTGACTGCTATATTTAGATCGGTTTGCCAGGCAAACCCTCTTGCCCAATCTGCTGTACCATTGGAAAAGATCCATCATCCATGTGCTTAGTATTTACAGACATTATCAATATCAACGAGTGTTGGAAATCTCTTTTTTATTAATTCATCATTTACATGATATTGACAGTATTTAATAAAATGTTAGACCAGATGTTGTGAATTTTTATTGGTTTAGTTATTCCTAAAGGGAGGGGGGTTTGGACTGTTTGACATTGTCTATTTTTGTGTTGTAGTTTGTGATATTAGGTGTTTGCTTTCCTTAAAGCTGGTTTTGCTCTCAGCTGTTTATAATTCTTGGGTTTTGTAAGGCTATTTGGTCTTTCCCCGAATATAAGACTCTTTGGTCTTTCCTCGAATATAGGACTTATGCTTACATACATGTAGTTAGTGATATTGGGTGTTTGTTTTCCTTAAAGCTGGTTTTTTGGTCTTCGCTGCTTATATTTCCTGTTGTGTTTTGTAATGCTCTTTTCCCTATATATCTGTCAGCCCCAAAGCTCATTCCAAATTAAGTCCAAGTGTAGTACAGGGTGTATCATAAATGCAACTAACAATGCATATCTTTTTATTAACAAATAGAGTTTGGCAAAATTAAAGTTTGTTCAATGTTATTTAAGTTGACAAAGTGCTTGGTCCATTTAAAGAACATGATCAAAATGGCTACAACCTCTCTGCAGATAGATTTGCACACATCATGCGTATTTGTCGATGACACGTGTGCATTCATCGCTCAACATGGCTCTTATATTCCGTGTTATCCCTAGTTTAAGCTCTACAATTGTTCTAGGATTGTTGACATATACATTATTTTACCATATGGAGCTATGAAAGCAAACATGTTGACAGCAACTTCGCATGAGTTTATTACACGTCTGTCTGCAGTGGAAGACATTTGGATACAATATACAAAGATAGGCACCTGGGTAGACGTACATGTACTTCATAACATCATATCAAAGGGATTTAAAACCATTCAAAAGTTGCAATTATGATCTTTGGGAAATCACTTCTTGTACTCGAGAATCAACTTACTGTAATTACTCACTGATCAGATGCTAATGCTTATGGACAACTGACTTCTACTCAAGAAGGTATTTTAAAATTTCAAATAGCTACAGATTTTCTTGAAAAATAACTGAAATACCAGTGGGCGGATTTGATTAAATTTTATATGCTGATGGTCAAGGGACATAGAATTATGCTCAAGGGTCAAATGACTTACTGTTTTCTATTGTAACTCAAACATTTGCTAATGTATTTTATTATTTATTAAATATACCAATATGTTTATGTTAGACAAAACCAACATTATTCGGTTAACATCCGACCCTTCCACCACTGGTAGAGCACAGCCATTGTCTGTAGGTTGAGGTTCTGACGTAAACACTTGGCATTCCAAGGCATCCTACTACTCCCCAGCTAGTTACTCCAGCAGCCACATAGCTTCCTCCCTCTTGACAGTTCATGGGGCCACCAGAGTCACCCTGTAGGGTAGAATGTGTACAATAAGTTATTTGTCACATTGATTAACCAGAGCCACCCTGTAGGCCACCAGAGTTATCATGCAGGGTATAATAAATAAGTAATGTGTCATCATTTAGGATATTATATGTAAAAAGAGTAATATGTCACCCACTTCAGAATAGACTGCTTTAAGAGGTAATATGTCACTTTGTAGGGTATAGTATGTAACATAAGAAAAGCTTCACACTTAATTATGCATTGGAATGTGTAAAATAAGTAATGTGTCACCATTTAGGATAGAATGTAATGTGCAAAATAAGTAATGTGTCACCATTATGGTATAATAAGTTCTATCACCCTTTAGGTTATACTATATAAAAAGGTAATGTGTCACCCCTTAGGGTATGATATGTAAAATAGGTAATGTGTCATCCGTTAGGGGAGAATTTGTAAAATAGGTAATGTGTCACCATATAGGGTATACTATGTAACATAAGTATTTTGTCCCCATAATGACATGTATGAAAAAGTAACATGTTTAATGGGTTTGTATATGTATAGTATGAAGTAAAGAATTGTTGAAGTGATGTGTTTTCTTGGGGTGTAAAATATGTTAAATTGTAACATTTATGAGTAATAAGAATTATATGACATTACTTGTAGGGGTGAATTCTTTGTAGCTTTTCTTCTTATTATAGTGTTGCTCTTTTTGAAAACTAAGATACACAAAAGATACTTTTGCTTTCTAAACCGACCTGGCAAGATCCCTGTGCACCATTGTCAACATCAAAGATACAGATATGGAGGGCGGCATCAGCCTGTCCCCAGGCAGCTTGGCATACGTCAGGGGAAAGGATTGGAAGAGTTGCTTGCTTCAAAAAGGTAGCAGAAACTCCACCTACAGAAACAACATTGATTTTTTACCTTAGGCTTTCTTTATTGCAGTTGATAAAGAGAAGAAAGACCTTTACTAAACCATTATAATCCATGTTAAAATTCAAAGTAGTAGAACACATTCTAGCGAGCATCCCTCAAATGGCGACATATGAACGTAATTGAATATATAAATAGAATGGTTACATATGAAAGTGATTGAATATTGACAACTCAAATAAATCATGTATATTCTTACACATCACATAACATTATACGTTAATATGGATAAGCATGGAAGGAAATGCTACTATATAGGCTAGAGAGTTAGAAACTAATACATGATATTGTTTATGCATATATTTGAGCTTTCTCTTAATGCCCGTTTTTTGGATATAATTAATTTTTCCTTGTTGTGTTTTGGTCTTTATTTTCCCTTTGCACTGGTAATTACATGTCATCAAAAATATATACAGTCTCACATACAGACAGACATATCCAATTATTAATATATAATTAATGAATGGATCATGTCTTGAGATTGACCTTACTCATCATTCACAATCCATTTAGATTTTGTATATGAATGAATATAATATGAGCATATACGTATCTCATTGCAACTGATAGCAACTACAAGAATATACATAAAAGTAAGCAAAGGCAAACACATGTGCTGCCAAGTACTCAATATAATATTAGTATATACCTCCAGCAGTGGTATCACCCCATCCAGTGATGGTGCAGTCCTGTCCTGCAAAGTCAGTGTTGCCACTGGCAATTTGGATAGTGCTGGCAGTATTGCCACTAACGTCAATGGGGCTGGCCAATTCGAGTAGAGCAATGTCGTTAGGGAATCCAATGGATCCATCTTGGATAAAGTCAGGGTGCTAGAGTAAAAGAAACAGTTATTACATAATACTGTGCACCATACAATGCTTTTAACTCACCGACACAACAATGTTGGTATTTACAAAATGCATTTGCATCGCATTAAAGGAGATATACCACAGTTAATAGTTGAACTCATAATAACATCTGTGCACTAAATTAACAGTAACATATTTACCTGGTAAACATTGGCAACTTCTATGACCTGTTCAGCCCCTGTGCAATCATCACAGTTTCTTTCGTGAGCACCAGCAACAACCTCATATCCAAAGCTGATAAAATAAATATTGTGTGAAAATAGAAGTAATCTTAAGAAAGAAATGAAAACATAGGGACTAGTGTATTCAACTTAATAGAAGCTTTGAATGTCGGATGTATAGTACTATTGGGCAGTTGAATGTATCGACCTTACTATGGTATTGGGTGTTTTGTAGATTTACTCAAATAAGTGAGTTTGAAAATACATAGCTAAGAACTATTCCTCTCCTATAGTGGAAGACAGGAATATAGATATCAATACAAAGTACAAACATATTTAAAGCTTACTTGTTGACACAATGAGCTGCAGTGGTGACCCAGGTAGCATCAGTGATGATGGCTCCGCAGATGTGGCCAGTGGTCCTCAGGGACAACTGCCATGGCCAAGCGTGCTGTTGGGCAATCTCTCCATTGACAATCAGCTCCCTGGGGATGGGCTCAAACAGAGCTGGAACAGGGTTCTTTGGGAAGGCCGAAGCTGCAGTGAAATTATAACATATTCAGTATTTTAAACTAAAACTTATTATTTTCAGTTTTCAGTACTAATACTTGTACACCTGTAGGGTAGGATTCGCTAAGATATTTTATAATGTTTTACTCTTTAGCAATTTTTCTTAAGTATTTATTCAAGAAATAACAAACTATTGAAATTGTGGAAATGTTACTTATCGACTCTTAAAATGACCCTTTTTAAAATAAACCTTTATCCTGAATATGTACCATATAAAAATGGTCAGACCCTGTATTTTCTATGAGTAAAAGACATTTAGTTCACTCCCTTAAAAATCTATTTGTGGTCATGGACATTGTATTAGTTCAAAGTTGAAATTATCCCCAATAATCAAAAGCTAGTATGACCATCTAATGGTGATTCTGTTTGTTGAACATATAGTGAGTTTTTTAAGGAAACAAATCCACATCATATTAAAGTACAATAATTTCTTGAAAAATTTAATAATTATTATATGGACGTCAAATCTTTAGAATTTTTACTAAAACTTACCTGCAGCAACAAGAGTAAGGATGAGACACAACATGTTTGAAGTAGACTCGAAGGTGATGGCTAACAATTTTGACCACCTTTTATACCCAATGTTTATCTAAAAGGATTGGTCTACTGGCCTTCCTTTCATCATATTGGGTGTTTCAAGTCACATGATTGTCCATGTTATATTTTGTAGGATTATGAAATCCAAATTTGGGTCGGTCTATCAGATAAAGGACTGATG